TATTTTTTTCTTGTATATGTACATATTGAGTCGCATCACTGCAAACATACATAATAATTATTTAAAAAATGGCTAAAACTTAACTTGAAAGCAATGTTATAAATAACTAAAACAAGTTTTAAAGTTTTTGAATTAATAAAAATCATATACGAGTACATGTATGTTGCTGAGACTTTTTTAATCTTAGAAATCCTTTTATTGTATTAATTCTTAAAAAATGATTTCATTGAATTTATACCTCATCTTAGCACAGATTTCTACTGAACAACTTCCAAACGTTGGCTCTGTTACACCATTCATGATTACCCTCAGAAACTTTAATTATTGTGCGTCAGGAATTATTACATGTATTTAAACACAAGGATTGAATTTCAGAAACGGTTTTCATTTACATTATTCACACTGTTATATTATACCTTTCTACTGTTTGGCGAAATAACAGATATTAAAGGAGTCGCTCCTGTTTATTTATATAATGTAAAATGAAAAAGCAGATCACTTAGTAATGGACAATGGCGTTTTTCTCATTAATTTATTGAATCTGGTCAAAAGTAAATGAGAGTATAAACAGAATGCAATAAATCAGACAAATATTATAACTATGTTTTCCTAAGCTTTTGTCCTGTGCTGTTATTTCAATCTATGCTATAAATACGCGCTAGAAAATCTTTTAGCCTTAAAGGGCTTCGAGAAAGGAAAATAAATCACCAAGGACTATAACAAATATAGCAAAGGTACGAGAAAACCTCTAAAGAAGAAAATAAAATGGCACATACATTGTATAATAATATATCTAAATAATAGGAGGAAGGGGAACAGTTTATATTAGGCAAAAAAAAAATAAATTCTTGGCTCTCAGGCCCTCCCTCATCTCTTCCAAGGTTGCATCATCGACCCTTTTTATTGCTACATGTAAATCAATAAAATAAAAACAACAAATCACCTCCCTCATCATTTTTTGAGGTTTTATACAATGTAAAAAGCTGCCTCATCATGTTTTGGGGGCAATAAAAAGTAAAAAGAGCCATAGCGCACTTGATACTCCCTATCCGCTACTCTAGTAGTGATTTTTTAAATACATTGTTAAACCAAAATTTTGTCATACAATGTTAGTATATACTTGCCTTAAAGCAAATCACACAAAAATTATATAGAGAATAATACATACCCTTTTCCATATCACATCCTGTATCAGCTCGAAACACCAATATTAGCCAGAGGGCCGAAGGCCCGAGGGCTGATATTGGTCGAGTAATAAAATACAGTATTAGTATTAGTAATAAAATACAGAACACGTTAAGTTGAGAAGAAAATAAGTAAGTAATCATGCATGGACTTCTTACAGAAATATACATGACCTACTGTCTCATATGATTTGGGTTCGTTTCTACTTCTATTTCAATGCACTCGATCCGTAATTTAAAATAATCTAGATATTACATGTACATGTATTTGTAAATTAAGATTAACCTTATTTTCAAAAATTTTAAATTAAGAGAATATGAACCCACCAAATATTGTGTACGATCACAAGTACTGTTTTTGTGGTTTAATTTACTAAGGGTGTGATATTGGCGTCAAAAATAGCCGTATCAGCCCTGCAGGGCTGATACGGCTATTGTGACGTCTGCCATATCGCATATGCAAAAAACCTGTATTTATTACTAAGTGTGTAATAAATTTAAATATTAATACTTCCCTCATATGATAAATATAAAAATCGTTAAGTTTATATGGAGAATATAGTAAATACTGACGTATCCCCCTAAACAAAGACAAACTGTAGCAAAAGACCACCCTTAACCAGAAAAAAACAACATCTGAATAATTTTATTTGGATATGACTGCACTTCATATCATTTAGATAATTTTGGTTAAAGGTGGTCTTCATATTGAAAATGTTGAAAATATGTATTTAAATTTTCTTCTAATTTTTTTTTATGATTCAACAATCTGTCTTAATTTTATCCATCCTTTTACTATGACTCCGTGGCGCAGTGGAATGATTGCTGGATTGTCGTTATATAATATGATCGTGAGTTCGAATCTCACAGTGCGTGTTTCTACAATATGCTTTTACTTTTTTCTCTCTCTGTGCGTTTTTCATGTTTTCTTTTATTATTTTATAATATATGTATAAATAATGTAAGAGATAGATTAATACAACATTACACCTTGAAAGTATCTCGGAAAAAAACAGTCCTAAACTATTTTAAATACCCAATGTCATAGCTGCTAGCTTGTTTTAATTTTAAGATTTTCTAAAAATCTTGTTTAAAATAAGAGTATTGAACAAGTAAAATGACTGTTATGTAACAAACTTGGAACTTTGAAAATACAACACTGGTCCACATGTGGTTTGATCTTGAATTGAAAAGGTTATATTTATCTGTAAATAGAAACAGTTGACTTTCTTTTTTACTTGAGACGGCCGTGTCGTCGGTAAGGCAGTTATGGCTCTTTACAAGGCCTTATACAGTCGTGTGCCAAAAGTGAAGATAATTTTATTTTTTCTCTATATATTTCATTGAAAACAACATTTTTTAAAATCATTGGCAAATGGTCAATTTTTGTCCAATTTCATTATTTATTTCAGTACTTAAACCAGAAAATTTGCAGTTTTCTTTCTTTAAAAGATCATTAAATATTTAGTTTTTACTAAAATATAGTTCATCAATTGACATCAGTTCTAAAATTCAAGATCAACGTGACTATATAATTCATTGTGAGTATGTGACTTAAAAATTCAGGTCGCAGTAAAATTACAATATTTTTAAAATATCAATACTGATCAGATAAAAACTATTGTTTATATCAACTACAACAATTTGTTGGATTACCATGAAATTTGTGATCTAATCTGTCAAGAAATGCTGTTATACCAGTGATTTTAAAAAATGTTGTTTTCAATGAAATATATAGAGAAAAAAATAAAACTATCTTCACTTTTGGCACACGACTGTACAATAACTACTGTGAATTAATTCACCTAGTTAAGTCATAAAATTATCACACAAGCCAATCGATTGATCATCTTCATGAAATTGAAAAATCAAAGTACTCATAAGTACAGAGAGCCGGGCTCATTTACAGAGTAGAATCTTTATGAATTTCTTATATGAATCATACGTTTATATTGTATTAACAGATAAAAAAAAGAATATCAAATTTAAAATTCTGATGAAAAAATCATTTTAAATCTATCAATATAAATGATAAAAATTAAAGACACTGACAGTGAGTTCGATCTTAATACCACGGTCCGATTTTGTCAGAATCAGAATTAATCTGGTACCGCAGCTGAATGTAAACAAACAGACCAGTCTGGTTCCCTCTCCTGCTTTTCTTCATATGTGTAGAGAACTAAGATACATGTAACACTGATTATCAAAAATCCTTACACTAATGAACTATGTTCTTTGACTTAAGACTGATGTTTTCAAAGGTACTATAAATATGTTTATTTATTTAGATAAAACTTCGTTTTATTTTTGTTGCTTTATTTAGCGTTTGTATTACCTCAAAAGCGGTTGAGAGTAAGAAGTATATTTTTACACGTAACTTTAAAATGGCGACTATGGGGTTGACATCCTGTCTTGAACAGGATCACATAAGCCGGCAATTGCTCTTTGAGCAATAAGCCCGGCTAATAAGACAGTTATAACTTATATTTACATGCTCTTGATTCCGCCAATCCACGTGCTCCAGTCCTGCTTCTGTCTAGCTGTTTGTCCCGTCCTGCACGTGATTTTTTTTAACTACAGTGTATTGATGAACGTAGAGTACATTCATGTAGAAATAAGGTACATAAACAATTTGTAACTTTATCTCGGACAAAGACATGGAAATGTAAATATTGAGTTATCTAAGAAGAAGGTATGGTTTCCATACAAATTTTTCCCTGTGATTTTCTAAAAAATGAAACTGGTGTAAAAGTTGAAAATTCATCCTTTTTAAGGAGATCTAGTAAATGAAAGGTGCCTACAGATTTATCAAACTTGAGAAATAAATTCCTTTATTGATGCTTTACAACTTTAGCTTGGTCAAATGAGGTGTTTTAATTTGTAGGTAAACAAGATGAAAAATTGTATTTTAAACTGTCATTTTCAATGAAAAATTAAGAAAACCAGTCATGAATATGGGAGTTTTTTTCGTATTCGGTAGAGGAAATGTATCCAGATTGCCTACAGTCTCTCAGAAAACGGTAATTTGTATGTTCATGGCCTCTTCTTTAAATCAATATCAAATTCAATATAGGTATCCGGTTTAATTTTCATATAATTTCAAAATGAATGTCATGAAAATACCCTATTTTCTACATAATTCTGCTAAAGCTGTAAAGTATGGGAAAAAGAAAGTTGAATTTGATTATGACGTCATAATGGATCTAGCACCAAAAAATTAGTCTCAAGTTATTTACTAGATCTTGACCTTAAATAATTGAAATTCAATGCAGAAAAATCATACAAGTCATTTTTCTCACATGTGTTTTTAAATGCTAATTATGACGTCATAAACATGAGCATTTTCCCGTATTTTCTTAAAAAGTTGCAGAAGACACCACTTTTCAATGGAATTTTCTTTCAGATAACATTGTCCACAGGCAACGCCCACAAAGATCTTGAGATATGTGATTCGTTATTGAATTTTGCATAAAATGTCAAAAAAATAACGTGGGCGACGGCTGTGGACACAGTTTTCTAAAGGAAAATCACCCTTGAAATGTGCCATTTTGAGGTTTTTTCTGTTGAAAATAGAGAAATGCTTCACATTAATGACGTCATATTTGCAGAATGGTAAACCTTCATGCCATATTCTTACCTGATTTATCAGAATCATTTATTTAACTAATATTTAAGCCAGTTTCAAAACTTTTTTGATGTCATTACATTTTTTAGGGCGCAATAAAGCTCAAACCATACCTTCTTCTTTTATAATTCCTACATGTATCTCATCAATCAGAAGGGGGTTGAAGATAAAACTTAACAATACGTCGAATTTGTTTATTGATATATTGTATAAAATTATTTTGTGAATCAATGTGTTCTGAAGTGTTCGATAATTCTAAAATGTTGCATTTTTCACCCTAGAGCTCCCATAGAATTGAACACAGATCCGTTGTTTTGGACCATTGTATCTGCAAGAAAGAAAATAACAGAAATTTCAGAAATGACTAAATATCATGACCAAAGGTTTTTTGGTCAAAACAATGACCTAGTCAGCAAATAAATTGATCATTAAGATTAATAATGGCTGACCTTTTTTATATTAATTCTTAGACATTATTCAAACACTGAATTCAGGCACGTAGCATCGTTTTTGAAAGTGGGGGGGGGGGGGCAACCAGAAAAAAATTTTTTACTTGCCTGAAAAAGTTGACAAGCAAAAAAAAAAAAAGAAACGAAAATTAAAAGTTGCCCAAACTCAAAAATCCTATTTCGTGGGGTGGGGTGGGGGTGGGGGTGGGGGTAGTGGCCAACTTTTTTGAAGCCAACTATCACTATACTATGGTATAAAGTGGAGGGGGGCAACCAACCTTTCAATGAACATTTACTATAGTAAAGGTAATGTTGGGGAAAAAAGTGGGGGCCCGGTTGCTACGTCCCTGTGAATTGTCGATAGATTTTTCCGTTATATCTCAATCATGACAAGGAACACACGGCATGTGTTATCGGTTCGCAGGGTAAGGTCACTCCTACATGGCACCCGACCCCCCCCCCCTCCCCTGATGATCTGGAGCTCAATTTTTACCTCTTCTAGATTTTAATATTGTTTTATGCACATTTTTGAGCTTGGAGACTGTTATCTCAATATATTTCAAGCTAAAGTAACTTAAATGATGAATCTTTCTATAGTACCATGCGCTCCCATGAGTATTCTTTTTCTGCACAGAAAATATCAAAATAAGGCATATAGCATCAGGTGAGAGTGTGACCGCTCAATTTATTTATCGTGTATTTATAATTAAGAAGTATGTAATTTTAGAAACGTCATTGTTTTGACTTTTCATACCCAGATACATGACAGCTCAATTTTTCGAGATTACTGCTTGCCTTGGATTTCAAATATCCTTCCATTTTTTCAACCTACGTGAATTGATTAATTGAGTATTCAACAAAGTTCAACTGTAAAGAAACTAGAGGAGCGTTCAATTAACAAATAGTCAATTTAGTGCGTTGGCTTTTCACGTGTAATTTTATTTTGGATCTTTTACTGTCTTAAATACATCAGGCTGTGCACTACGTCATCATTATTGTTGAACTTGAATAAAAGTGTGAAACCCAACTGTCTAAGGACGTGTCTATAACTTAGACAATGTATGGAATGGTATCCGTATTTAGTTGTGATAAATCACAGTGATACGACAGTCAACTGCATAGAAAATAGAGGAGTATTCAACTAATGGTCAACTGCAAAGAAAATAGAGGTTTATTCAACTAATGGTAAACTGCATAGAAAATAGAGGAGCATTCAACTAATGGTCAACTGCAAAGAAAATAGAGGAGTATTCAACTAATGGTCAACTGCAAAGAAAATAGAGGTGTATTCAACTAATTCTCAACTGCAAAGAAAATAAAGGTGTATTCAACTAATAGTCAACTGCAAAGAAAAAAGAGGAGTATTCAACTAACCGTTAAAAAAGAGGAGTATTCAACTAACCGAAAAAAGAGGAGTATTCAACTAACCGTTAAAAAGAGGAGTATTCAACTAATGGTCAACTGCAAAGAAAATAGAGGAGTGTTCAACTAATGTCAACTGCAAAGAAAATAGAGGTGTATTCAACTAATGGTCAACTGCATAGAAAAATAGAGGAGTATATTCAACTAATGGTCAACTGCAAAGAAAATGGAGGAGTATTCAACTAATGGTCAACTGCATAGAAAATAGAGGAGTATTCAACTAATGGTCAACTGCAAAGAAAATAGAGGAGTATTCAACTAATGGTCAACTGCAAAGAAAATAGTGGAGTATTCAACTGATTGTCAACTGCAAAGAAAATAGAGGAGTATTCAACTAAGAGTCAACTGCAAAGAAAATAGAGGTGTATTCAACTAATGGTCAACTGCAAAGAAAATAGAGGAGTATTCAATAAATTGTCAACAGCATGCAACAAATAGAGCATTCAACCAGTGATCAACTGCAAAAAATATATTTTGGGAGCATTCAGAAGTCGTCAACTATATGCAAATGAGTTGAACGCACCCTAAATTTTGCACGACAAAAATTCCTCTAATAGTCAATTGACGGTCAATGGATCGTCAACGAACCGTTAATTGAATACTCCGATTGAATTCTAGTAGAAGTATTTTATAAATGGGCAACAGCAAAGAAAATAGTGGAGCATTCAACCTGTGATCAACTGCAAAGAATATATATCAGAAGCATTCAGGAGTGGTAAACTATATAAAAATGAGTTGAATGCACCCTAAAATTTGCATGGCAAAAATTCCACTTATTTAAGAAAAAATACATAATTATCTACATATAAGAGAGGCAAACGCTGGCGAATTAGCAAATCACATGTTCTTTCTACCTACCCCCCCCCCCTAAAAAAAATATTTAGTGTAATATCTATATAGTCTTACCTCCTATTGATACAGATTCATCTTTGTCGTCATATCTCTTTCTCCTTCGGAGCAAAAAACCTTGATCTGAACAAGCAAAAAAAGGTTGGTTATTAATTTTTTTTAAAAAAGTTTTCAGAATTTTAAAACTTTTTTTAATTTTATCCAATTACCTCTTTCATAAGGCAGTAAGAGAACTGGACTTTCCAAGACAATACAAATGATGAGGAAACAGAGCACTTTCTCTGTCAACATTTTGCAGACAGGATTGCTGAATGATAAAATCACGGACGCGCTTTGACAGGTCTTAGCAGCTGAGGCCAATACATGTATGTCTCATTGACAAGTCATAGAAAAAATAATTTGTTGGGCAACATCGGCGACAGATGTATTTTTGTACCTATACAGAATTACATATTGATAATATTTCTTAACCCGTAAAATCATTATCTTATGGAACGTCACAATGCTCGCAGCCATTGTTATATATTGTTATCTATAGATTGTTTTCATCATTACAAAATGTACATCAAAAATAAATAAATAAATAAATACTTTATCCAAATTTAATTGAAGACAAATGCAACAAACAGCCTTAAAAGGACCTTGCCTTAGATCCATAGACAGTCGAAAAAATGGAAAGGTACCCATACATACATGCACCATATGCATTAACACATTCGAAAAAAAAGATACCAAGAAAATACACATAGACAGGCAACAAAAAATGAAAGGTGTCACCACATAGATTGACAAAAAAGGGTATCTAGACACGTCATAGACAGAAAACGAAAGGTACTTATACACGTCAGAGAAAGTCGACAGAGCCACTTAGACAGCCGACAAATACCACTTAGATAGTTGAGAAAACAAAAAAACAAGAAATCTACCCAGACATTACACAGAGAATCAATAAAACATCTAAATACAAACCCGCAGAAATAAAGTATACTAATACAAAGGTAACAAAACAATTGTAGTAGACAAAAGGGACTCGTATAACTGGAAAACTATTCGCATCTTGTCATCACAAAGACAGACATTAAAATGACGAAAGGTGATAAGTATCTAGCTATAGAAACTTACACCAATTAGTCGAGGATAAAATTGATTGATTGATTGCATGTATACTGTTTAACGTCCCTCTCCAGAATATTTCACTGATATGGAGACGTCACCATTGCCGGTGAAGGGCTGCAAATTTGGGCCTATGCTCGGCACTCAGGGCCATTGAGCAGGGAGGGATCTTTATCGTGCTACACCTGCTGTGACACGGGGCCTCGTTTTATACGGTCTCATCCGAAGGACCGCCCCATTTAGTCTCCTTTTAACTATTCTAACCCGGATCCCCACGGGATAAAATTGAAAAAAAAGACAAAACTTAAGGTATTACACCTACTAAGCAGGCAATAAGCTTAAAACGTCAGGTGTAGGATAGTTATCCAGACATGTTTATACCAATTAGTCAAGGATAAAAATGGCCAAAGGCGAAAGGTAAGACACCTCTTAGAAAAGCAAAAATTTAAATGTCAAACGAAACGTTCCAAGACAAACAACAAATCAACAGCTAAAGTATTAAAGAACCTCTAGAACCCAATGTCGAGCATTCGGGTAAAAGAAGGACGACAGATGATCTAGACCTCTAGACATCCCTAGCTTAGACAGTACAAAACCTACGGAAGTTTCTTAGACATTGATCAGTCACATCACTTAGACAGGCATTTAAGCGACAACAGACAACTGGACAAAGTGGTTTTCTTTAAAAAGATGACGGTTTCGAAATTTTTTTTTTTTTTAAATTCCTTTCTAGCTACGGGCACCAAAATTCGGCCAAAACAAAAAAAAAGATATACAATAATAAAAAGTAAATGAACATGATTTATATTTGACAAAAAAAATACCATGTAAAAATTGTTATATATCTTTTTCAAAACTAATAAAAGATTGGAATATGCAGAAAAAATAAATGACAATTGTTCGAAAATTTTCTTTTTCCTACGGTATTAAGTATATGTACGTGCATTTATGTTTACTAGTTCATCGTAAAACTTTATGAAAATTTCAACGATTTGCAAAAGTGATACAAAACATTGAAAATATTCGTTTTTAATGAAAAAAAAAACACTCAAAAAAAATCCAAATTATGACTTTAAAAAGGCAATTCTCAGTGAAGATGAACAGTGAACAGTAGTATCAAGGAGCAGCAGACGCATTTTATTCGTGCTGTGTTCTTGAAACTTCAGAATAACTCTAAAATGCTATAGAAACAGATACATGTATTAATTAATAAAATGCGAGTCGTACATGTCGTACATGCAGAAATGTGTGTAAATGGCACAGGCTGCATTGGAATAATGGAGACTGTATCAGATAATGATGATGATTTGTGAGGTTGTGGATTTTCTGTTAAAATCTTCATAGGCGTCGGAACCGGGGGCTACTTTTTTTCAAAAGATAGACATAATATATATATATATATGTATAGGCACTGGAAATTGTGAGTTACCTTTTTTGTTGGTTTAGCCCCCCCCCCCCCCCCTCCAACACGCACACTTTCAATTTGCTTCTGATGCCTATGATCTTATATAAAACTTGACTTTAAAAAGTTATTAAGGTCATGGAAAGAGTTTTGACCTTCACCAGTGTCATGGTTGTAAATGTTTATTTTATGAAAGCGGCATATTAAAACGTTATAGGAAAAAAACATTGACAAACTATTTAACAGGGTGGGTTACAAGCATTTTACCTTAGTAAACAGTGGTTTATTTCTCCTAAAACTTAATTTTATATTCATTGTTTTATTTATTTATTCATTCATTTAGGCTATTTATTTATTTTTGTCACAGAGGCTCGATCCCAGCGTGTAATAATTTCTTTCTCTTTTAATTTTTGTATTGTCACCAAATGAAAAATTTATCATTTAATGAAAATCTTTCCTTTGGAATGAAATAAAGATTCTACAAAACTTTCACTCAAAGGCCGACTTTAAGTCCGTCTCCGGTTCTCATATTACAATGTGTGTAAACAGGAAGTAAACAGTACGCGCCAAGAATACAAGTTTATACGGGAAAAAAAGTAAAAATCTAGTTGTTATTTGCTGTGGGGAACTGTTTATAAAGAAAATTTAACATGCCTCGAGAAATTATCACCCTACAACTAGGACAATGTGGAAATCAAAGTAAGCCAATTTCATTCAAAAGTTACATCTAAAATCTCAGAATGATCGTTTGGTGTTAACTCGAATTTCCTTTGAATTGGCAAAGTTTTAAACTCATGATTATAGTGGCAAATTTCTGCATTTTACTTGATAGACATATCATGTCAACATGTTAGAAAAGTTTCTTATCTTGCGAGAATGCTTTATCAAGCTATGAAAAAAATAAACAAATCATCAAATTGGATAGTATACACAATGTATTAAACATGTTAAAACAATGTGTTATTTTGTTTGATTTTAGTTGGAATGGAGTTTTGGAAGCAGCTCTGTGCAGAACATGGAATTAGTCCTGGTGAGAGTATATACTGTAAATCACTTTTTATTCGCAAGAACTGTATTTTCGCTTAATACAGTGATTTAAGCAGTTCCGGATCGTAACGTGAAAAACACTCGGTAAATTATTTGTGCAGGAGTTGTGTTTGATTTCTACACTGAATTAAATAGTCCTTTATTTACTCTTTCAACCCATATTAATAGTTTGTTTAAAATGTTATACTTAATTATCCAAGTTGTCCATTTAAATCATGCTGGAGTTCAAGCAGTTTAGGTGATTTCAAGTAGTTCCGGTTTTCGCCACCTATCGGTGTTATTTATAGTTGTAACA